TTGTTCAACCTTTCATCCCTCCTGCCATAGGAATCAATGAGAATACCACCTCTGCTCCTGTCCCTTCAACTAGGTGGCCCAGTGTCTTGAAGGCCTTTTTGACTACCCTGATCCTTCTCTCTTTGACCTTGTTACTGCCAACCTGGACAATCAGTAGTGGGTAGTAATCTGTGGGCCAAATTCACCTAGGGAGTCTCCTGGTAATATCCCTTACCTGGGCTCCAGGAAGAGAGCGGAATTCTCTGTGCGATGGGTCCAATCAGCATACAGGACCCTGAGTTCCCCTCAGAAGGGAGTCACCCACTACAGCTACCCTTCTTTTTTCCTCAGTAGTGAAAGTTGTGATGTGTCTGGTTGACTGTGCTGATCTGGGAGACCACCCAAGCCACACTTTCTTTTTCACTGTGTTCACTGTCATCTGCTTGACCCTCAAGATCTAGGGCCTCATATCTATTCTGTAAGGGCACCTGGGAAGGCGAGGGAGGCCAGGAGGGGATTCTCCTATCTCCCTGAGCAGGAACTTGTTTCCATTCCCCCCCATTTTTTAGGACTCCTGATGGCAAGTGGATCAGGGCTCCTCCAACTCTTGCTGAGCTTCCATCCTCTGCATTTCTCTCAGGGATGGAATGGTTTAACTTCACCAGTCTGTTTCTCTTTCACACTGTCTTCCAAGTGGTTATTCTCACAAATACTTGTGAAGAAGGAAACTGAGGCAGAAGAAGAGAGATTGGACAGCCCTAAATTTTGACACTTCAATAAGGTGCTGCAGAAGGTAAAGTTTATTATACCATCAGTGTACACTGAGGGATGCGATGAGATAGGACACAGCTTTGGTGTGAACAACTTATTTCTTTCTTGGAATGACCAAGGAAGCACCTGGCGAAATCGACTCTCAGGTGTCAGACCTCATCCCACATGATTGTGGCATCCAAGGGAAGGGAAAAGGTGATTTTGACAGCACCCTGATGGTAGGCCAACAAATTTTTATCAACTACTTGGAATTAAGCAGATCAGGGAGGGACAAGTCAAACACAGTCGCAGTGCTGGGAGTACCCTGCTTGCAATCAAAGAGGTGACAGGGATAGAAAATAAACAAAATAATGTTTCCACTCATTTATTTAAAAAAAACACCATATTAACTGATCCTGGATATTCTGGAAACAGGAAAAGAAGTTGCCAGAATGGAAAAATTTGAGGTGTCATAGCAGACAATTATAAGCTTGTACTCAGAAGGAGCTGGGTTTAGAGTAGAGTGAAGAGTAAGGAAAAATTGAAGAATGCTGAGAGGCAGAGTGGTACAACACTATCAGAAAAGCATCTTTCAGCAAGAGACAGCTGTGCAGCGTTGAAGGCACTGGAAGAAGTAATGCCTGGAAGCAAGACCAAAGTGTTTCCTTTGACAACAGAAACAGCAATATTAGAATGGAGCAAGATTGAAGGGAAACTGCAGACAAGGAACACAGCTTGGAATATGGTGAGGACTTGGAGAGGACACAGAAGGAGGAAGCCAAAAGGCAATCATATACATCCACATGACTTGTAATGACTCTCTGATTTGGCAAACACAGGAAAAGTTAGATTAGAATGCCCAGAGGAACCTTCTTGTAGTATTTGGAACAGTTAGCATATGATGCATTTATAAATTTTCAATGCCAATTCAAGGGAGAGGCCAAGCCTATAAAACTGCATAAGCTAGTGAGATTTTATCTTCGGGTGTATCCTGGGGAAATGATATTTTGCTCACATGGGATATACTCCGTTGTCTGCAGTTCTGCAGGGAAGATAATTCTCTCAATGGCTCCATCATCCTCTAATTTATCCAGCCAACGGCCACAAGGGAACTTGAGGCACTGTCCCAGAGATGGGGCATCAATCTCCACCCATTCCAGAAACCAGCCAGTTGAATTACCTGTGGTTGGAGAGAGAAGAGTGAATAAGCCACAAAGCCTTTACAGACATCAGCAAATGAATCACTGCATTCCAGAACTCTGACAAATATATCTGTCTTCTTTTTGCCAAAGGGAAAATAGAATAAATAGCATAAAGATCATTGGATGCTAATATGCTTTGCATTTCTATATGTGCCACGCTAAAGACATGCACTGAAAATGCTGATTACTCCATCACTTGGATTAATTGGCCTTTGTAATAAGATAGAGCAGTTAACCACAAACACGTCCCTTGATGCCCCATAGGGGA